TTCAAAGTCTAAGAAGTTGTCCTTGGCTAAAGAATTGAGAAAAGCAGAGCGAGTTTGTTGATTCCTGTCCCAGGAAATGCTCGCCGGAAGTAAGAGTTAAACCGACCTTAGTAGCGGGAGGGAGGGTATGTGGGGGATGGACTGGGCAGGAGGCTCAGAGATGATCAGAAGCACTGTCGTATAGAGAACAACCTTCATGGAGACTGCAAGTCCTTTCTCCAGGAGGTAATCCATCAAAGGTTCTAGAATCTAGAGGGGTAGAAGGAGAAATAAGACGGGGCTGGAATTCAGATCAGCATTCCTGTAGTCTGATATCAATCTTGGAAATACGTGATATGAAAGCCTCCAATGTAGGAAAATGGAGGGGGAATTGTATGAGGTGATCCTTAAGTTCACTGGAAAGCCCATGACAGAACTGATGGATGAGGGCTTCCTGGTTCCAAGACACTTGGGAATCCAAAAAGTGGAATTCTGATGCATATTCCTGGAATGGACGGATTCCCTGAAACAGAGAGGCAAGTTGTGAAATGGTCAGATGATGAGCGTGAAACTTTCCAAAAACAGAGTGCATGGCTGCCTGAAAAAGAGTAATATCAGCAGCTTTGGGGAGATTTCGGGTGAGGAGGTTAGTAGCCCACTCCAGAGTCCGGCCAGAAAGGTTTGACACTATAAATGCAATCTTCTCCCTGTCAGTTGGGAAACAATCAGGACGGAGATAGAAAGCCATCCAGAACTGGGGTATAAAACCCTGGAATTTAGATGGGTCACCCTCAAATTTCTCTGGGTTGGGAGGGGGTAAGGGACTAGCCACAGCGTGAATGTGTGGAGCTGGTAACGGAGCCACGTGTTGTGGTGGTGGTGTCTGAGCGATGTGGTCCACAAGTTGTTGAACTGTGGCAGTGAGTTGACCAAGAGCCTGAGATTGATGTTGAAGAACAGCGAAGGTATCATCTTGGCCCGCTGGGTCCATGTTCAGGCTCATTATTCTGTTAGCAATTATGAATGCTGAAAATAAGGACCCTGTGCAGGGCTGAATTAGGCTTATTTCCCGAGTAGCAGTAGAAAATCTAAAATGGAAAAGGCTACCAAAAAAGAAACACAAGTCCAAATATCCTAAATCCAAACGGCAGGCGATAGTAAAAACTGGGAGGAGACAATACAACGAGGCAACAATCCAAAATCGCAGAGGCAGAGATGTGGTCAGAAATGAGCGAGAGTCAGGAAGAAAGATATAGAAGATAAAGATTGGGTACTCGCACTAGTGAGCTCCAGGGAGGATCCAAAATAGTGAGCGATGGTATGGGAAAAGAGGAGGGTTAAACTAGTGATTGGAGTGAAAGGCAATAGGAAGATTAGTTGCAGCGTGAGCGTCTGTTTGAGTGGGTGCATGTGGGAACGTGACAGCATTTGTGAAAGTGTGTGGAAAGTGTGACAGTGCGAGTACGTGCAGAATGCGTAACACAGAGTAAAATCCTCTAAACTGAAAGCCATGATGGACGCCACAATAACCCATAATACAAACTGTATTACTGTAATACCTGTAATACAAAGGATCATTACAAACCAAAACAACCTCAAATGCAGCATGCGTGAACCCAGGAAAAAATATCAGCTCCACAAAACAAATCAAACATTAAACAAGTCCTCAAATATGCTACATCCCCACTATAGTTATGGCAAGGTGAAAGTGGGAAGCTGATTTTTAAAACATTTTTTAAAGAAAATCAGAAATAAGAAACAATGACATATCCTTGCCTAACTTGTATGACATTGTATGACATTATAAACTATAAAAAACGTTTTTAGATAGTTAAACACCACTTATTACGCACAAAAAGCAGGTGTTTTTTCTTCTTCAAGATCAGCTTAGAGTCTTTGTGAACGCTGTAAGATAATATAATTTTGCCAAAATTTATTGTTACATTTCTTAAGTTTTTGAGAGACTTCAGAAGACATAAAAAATGTAGCATACTGCATTTTAAAGTTATGAACTCGCTTACACCTTGGATCTGCTTTATTCAAACTGAGGTTTCTAAAAATGCAACCAGTTACTAGATATTGTTTAAAAAAAAGCTTTAAAATGCCTGTGGTTTGAAGATTTTGTGTCATTTTTCAAAAGTTTTTGACATCTGAAATATGGTATCTCACAAATAAGTGTTTTAATAAGAAAGCGAAGGTTATAAAAACCGGACAAACCAAATGATTCTGAAAAATCAAGAAGTTTGAAATTATTATTTATTATTAATAAATTAATACTGATAATGATCAGATACATTATTATAGTTTTAGTGGTCTTTTTAATACCGCTTTTTTGTTCTCGATTATGTAGCGGCAATGCTTGTTAATAAGACAGAATTAAGTGTTGCTGTGCTTTCCCAAACGAGGCCCCATCTCTCTCTTTATCTCTGTGGTGCAGCCACAGAGAAGCTATTCATGAAGGCTGATATAAAGATGTTTTCTTTTGATAAGGGACAGCTCCCAAAATGGGGATGCACTTAGCTAAGCCTGGCTATCATGATCAATGGTCATCCATTGGCGCCTATCTGTCTAGGGAATGCCAGATGGACACCTGGACTGCATTCCTAAGTGTTAGGAGTATGTGACTCATATCTCACCTTGATCAACCAATCAGGGAATGGTAGGGCTGAGTAACCCACGTGGGACTCTGATGCCCATGAAATTTTCAGCCAATGAATGAGGTGAAGTTCCTCCAGGTAAAAACAGGCAACACAGAGGGCCTGAGGAAATTCTAAAGATAATTCTAAGGAGAATTCCAGGGGTGCAAGACAATTCCAGGGCAGGATGGCCCAGGAGCAGAAAGGCTCCCAAGGGCAGGACATTCTCGCAGCACGCCTCCTGACCATCCTGAGACTCAGCCCGGACAACCTAGGAACGGCCAGTGTGTCCGAGTGCCAGAACTTTCCTCTGTTCTAAGAGTCTAGAGCGGAGGTTGCCACGAGTAACCAAAAGATCCAACCGAGGTTAGCATCAGCAGCAAGCCTCGTGAACAGGTCGGAACTGTGGAAAGCTGAATCAGTATTCAGAACTAGCGCTTCATCAGGAACGAACCGGTCCTCGTCCTGACCTGCTGGAACCCACAGTAATCTTTTCTCCTGTGCACAACTTTGCTTGTTAAAGTCAACACTAAATAGCCAGTCTTCAGAAAGCATCAGCAGCGCACCGTCGCAAGCCACACAGCACAGCCTGGCACGGAGCCAGAGAGCGCAGATTGGACAGCAACAAGCCTGCAACTGCTTCTTTGTGCCCGTAGGAGATCTGAATCCCCAGAGATTGGATGAGTATTCAACTTCACTGCATTATAGCTCGAGAATTCAATTGTTATCCCAACCAGTTGATATCAGTTTAATTCCTAAGAGTTATGTACTTGTTTTGAGTATCTAATGTAGAAGTTATAACCAAGTTCAATTACGAAACGGTCTAAATGAACGATGTACTGAACGTATGTCCTCTTGGTATGTGTAACTCTTCGTAACTGAATGAATATATATCTTTTGTATTCTGATAACCCTCACGATAAGATCTGTTGGGTTTATATGCATATTTTATGTATTAATTAATGTATCCTCGTGTATTAGTACCTGTGTGTGTGCGTTGTTTGAGTTATACAGCATGGTTAGATTCTAAGGCCATTAAAAGAATCAATTTTGTGATTTACGGCTACAATTAATAATTGTCCCAGTAAATGCCCAAACCCCTACAGAACTGGTGCCTCGTGAGAGCACACTACAATTATAATTACAATATATACAATTTTGTTTTAAGGCTTGTTGTAAAGGCTTGTGCTAAATCGTCCCACTGAATAAAATGTTTTGAATTTAATTTAATTAAATTGGTTGAACTGTTTTTTACTTCCACTGTTGACAGTATTCACATTTGCTCATTCACATATTTTATTATTAATATAATTTAACACTGAAAACATTGTGATATATAAAATAATAAATAATTGTTAATATAGTGTGCATAATATTTACTATTTTATTTTTTAAAAAGGAGTCATTGTTTGTTAGATGAAAAACGTGTACCCTAAGCAGGTATTGAAAGGTATTGACAAATTTGCTTAATGAATGGGCCAAGGAAACACAGCTGAAACGAACAGCTTAAAATGTTTTGAAAGTAATCATGAGTGAATGAGTCAAAGAAAAAATAAAACGTTTACAAAGAAAATGGACTATGGTAAATACCACCAGCTATATAAATATGTTATATTTAGATCCTTAAATTAATATTGTTATTAATTTATTTTGTTACGCGAGTCCATATTCTAAAAAGTACGCTTTTTTTACTGAAAAAACAATAGCAAGTATGTATAGAAAAGGTTAAAACATTATAGCTTTTTACAAAGTATATAAACTTCAGAATGAGCACGTCAAAATTTTTCCAAAATAACCAAAGTACGTGACTCAGTTAAAGACTTTGATGCATAAAATGTTTATGAAGAAAGTGGAATACTGTTGTGCACTTTTTATTTAAGGTACCACTACCTGCTATATTCAGTATGTATATTTATATTCCTAAATTAGTATAGTTTATGACAATATGACATTCAGATTTTTATGCTCAGTTACCAAAATTTCCCTTTAGTTGTAAAATTGCATATTAATATTCCATATTAAGTGGATTTAAACATGCACAATAGAGAGATTAAATGAAGGAAATCGTTTCACTAACGATCACTAACGTGATTTCGCGAATCACGTAAAATATGGATTTTTAACATGCATTTTGAATGGCTAAATCTGTAACTTTTATTCTAATTATTCCATTTTCTTTTTTAGCATTATAGTATATGCCATATGTTCTGGTAAAATGACTTGTAAACCCAATCTTTTAGGGGAACTGCTACAGTACATTGAGTTATTTTTTTGTAACGAAAAAATATTGATATTTTATGAGTATCATTATTAGTATGTTTCTTTTTGAAACTTAAAAACAGTTTCTACTTTTTAGTTTACTATTTTATTCTAATAAGTACTTACCAGAGCAAAGGAATCTCTTGGCCTGGCTGTTTTTCATAGTGCCCTTTTCCTGAAGTAATGAAACAGCTGTTTTGAAAACTTTTTTTATCCCATCTGCTATGTTCTGCCAGCTCTTGTCATTCTGTAAGTTTCTGTTGGCAGATTCCATCTGTGAAATTGAAAAGCACTATAATATTATCATGTTTTCTATATTTCAACTGATAACGACTTGAGAATTTAGGAATATACTGTATATACAGTATACATGCAAGAACAAAAAAGGGGGTCATGTTTACACAGTTTTTTTCAGTTGTCATATACAATATGTTTAAGAAACATGTAAAAATGTAAATATCTCAATGCAAAAATCTAATATGGTGGCTATCTTTAATTAACTTTAATTAATCCATCAGTGCAATTTTTTTAAAAATTACATAACCATGGCTGTGTTTTTTTAAGTGCATAGTAATATTATAGTTTGAAATAAATATTCTTAACAGATGACACATAACCTGTGGTTACTGTATAGCTATGGTACTTTGATTGTCCATTTGTATGCTGCACAACAGTCTGTTCAAAGATAATGTGCTGCAAAGACTGTCAATACTGCTATGAAAATTATCTAAACCATTGCCCATCATTTCAAATTTTAATTAATTCCTTTTTATGCATATACCCATAAAATTTTTATAATTTATGGAAAAAATGCAAATATTCATAACTGAGCTCTGAATTATTCAGAATTTAGGTGAAATAAACATCGTTGATCACTGGCAATTTGGCAGAATTTTATGTGCTTTGAATTAAAAGCAATTGGAAGAATGAAGACACCACCAACATGCTGATATTGTTTGCAGACTTTCTTATTTCTTATTTACAGCATGATTTAGTATTTGGTTTATTTGGAATGTCAAATCTATTCAGAGGAACCTACACAGAAACATTTGTATTCAGCATGGCCATATTGCAGACAATAGTAAATAACTACCTGTCAGGACTCACCTGGGAACTTAACAAGTAGGACTATTAGTATCAACAGAATAGAAAAATGTAAAATAGAGACCTTTTTTTAGAAATAGACAGTAATCAATAAGTAATCAATCAGTAATCAATAAGTAAAATAAATTATCACAACCACAGTTGATATAATAAGAGGTACCTGAGTTCTTTGTTCTCTGATATAGCTTTGGTGAAAGTGTAATAAATCACACACAATGGATTAAACAAATTGTTATTAATAATGACAATAACACACACTAAGAACACACAACATAAAATACAATATACAAGTTACTCAATAAGTAAACAAGGCAACTTGGAGACCTATGTCCTGACCACACAGAAAAACCTCAGTCTGTTAACAAGTATCCAAAGATCCTATATACTGTAAAGCCAACAACATAGATACACCTGCTTTCTAAACTAAACAGATTACGGCTTCCAGTTAAATCTCTCCATGTATAAACATGGATGCTACAAAGTGAATGGGAAACCTAGCTCCCTCTTCTAAAAAACGAATTCACTAACCAGAAGCAGTCATTTTTAACAAAGTAGTTCTCTTATACAGACAATGAGAGCTTCCTAAAAACAACAGAATGGCAAAGTCTCTTAATGAGGTTTAAATACTTAATTCAAATCTGGTGTTAAGACTGATCAGAGCAATCTCCTGCCTGGCACTGTCTCTTCTCTCTTGTCATCCTCTCTCCACTGTTTTCTACCTCCTCTCCCTTGTCTTTTTATCCCGTGTTACTGGACTTTTAACGACTCTTAATGATTTACCAAAAATTTAACTAACTAATGTAAACCAGATAATTCCTGTGATCAGTGTGTTTCAGAACCAATGCAACTCATTAAACACCTCATTCCCTTTTGTGCTTTGAAGATCCATAGAGAACTGCAAATGTTGCAAAGGTGTTGAATATTGTCTCTAAATTCTTAGACAACTCAATAGCCTATATAGGCAATAGGTGTAACACTAAGATAATTATAATAAGCAACAAGTAACATTCTTTTTTTCATTGACCGTCTTTGTAAAAGTAACACCACAGCATTTTGTTGATCCAATCACGCATTTGTTTCCAATCATGCAAAGTACAGTAATTTTGAGAATATCCGATTCACCATGCCTTTCACATGCTCATAAAAGATATTGATTTAGGAACATAAACATATTACTGCATGCAAACTGTACTGTATACAGTATGTATATTTATATTTAATGTCTTTACTGAGCCCGTTTAAGTATTGAATATTTATATGGAATTTTACCACTGAAGGGAAATCTTAGTAGCTGAGCATAAAAAGAATAGGAGCATAATGCGTGTGAAGGCCATAAACGATATTAATTTTGGAACATAAACATACAGTATTACAGTATGTAAACTGTTTATGGCTGGTCTCGGTACTTTAAAGAAAAGTGTGCTAAACTTGGAAATGAAGGCATAGTCAAGCTTCTAGATGTTGTTCATATGAACATAGATGCTTGTTTATGCGAATGCAGGAGGACCAAATAAGCATTCTTGAATACACAATAAAAATAGTAAACAAATTATTTTTCCAAATGATCCAATTATCTTTATTTTCCCAAAAAAAAACAGAATGTTTTGGTTGGCTCTTTGCATGAAATGCAGCACAGTCAATATGGAAAAGAGAAACATGATAAAGCATGATAATTTTAGTAATGCTGCCACCTGCAGATGCTGCTCAAGTGGAGCATTGATGTAGCCCTGTGTGATAAATGGTCGTCTGAGAAAAGAGAAAAAATCTGAAGAAACTTGGAGTTGTGGGAAGACGCCACTGGATCAGTGCTAGAAGCAGGTTTCAGATTTTTCTGGATTCAGGTTTCAGGTTTCTAAAGTCTTTCAGTTTTTTAGGCTTTTAGGCATATGTGTTTCTCAGAGATGGAATGCAGTGCTTCAAGGAAAAAAGCACACACAAGAGTACTGATCAAGTGACGGAAACAGTATTAAATAGAGAACAAAACAGAATAATTGGGAGGACTGATTGGATGATTGGTGGACCTTTGGGCAAACTGATAAACAACCTGAGCGTGTCTGACTGTGGGAATGTTACTATCTCCTGGGCCAACTGAGGACTGCATGCTGCTGACCAGCTGGGCATGACACCTAATGAAAACTTGTCTGTAATATTTATTTTGTTTCCATATACCTTGATGGTTTGAAGCAGATTAACTGTTTTCATATCCTTGTTTTAATAAAAGCCCAGTCTTAATAAATCTTACAAAGTTACACTTACTGAATTATGTAAATTCTTCAGAATTTCAGATTTTGGCTTGAGGTAGTATGCTGGTGGAACTGCATTTTCATCTCTGCAGTAACATTCTTCCAAAATCCTGGTGTCTAGTCCAGCTTCTGTAGCAGAATCTAGAATCATTTCAAACTCAGCTGACTCCACCTCTCCAGGGATTCGAATACTGCCATATTTTTCACCTAAAAGTCCCTGTGTTAAAAAAAGCAAAAAAAAACAAGCACTTGTTTTATTCTTCATGGGGAGAAATACAACAGAAGCCTCTTGATAGATTTTTTTCATTTTCTGTAATCAAACACCATGATAATCCTTATTCCTCTGACAACAATCTGCTCTATTTTCATTTGGGATGTGACCAGATTTACTGCAGGGTGTGTAGTACAGAATGAACAATAAAATAAATAAACTAGCATACTAAATGAACATAATCATATTGATTAATCAACATATTCCTCCTGCGGCAATTCTACTGTACATTAAATGCTGAAACAATTGCAAGATTTATCTAGTTTAAAGCCACTGCATTATACATAATGCTTACAGCCCAAATGGATTTAATAAAATAAAGAAAAAACAAAACACACATTTTTAAATATTATTTCTCATACTTGAAGACTTCAACAGGTCTTTTTTAGGCAGCAAGTCTTTATGTATTCCAAATGATCATTCATGATATTGCAGCAATTTTCCATTGTTTGCCCTGGCTAAGTCAGTGAGTGTGAGGAAGCAAAGACAAGAAAGCAGAACTACAGGTGTGTCTGCTGATCATGAAGGGGGTAGAGAGCGAAAGAGAGAAAGAAAGTTGCAACAGCTAGCAGTCTATGAGGTAGAGAAAGGAAACCACTGCCACATATACAGGAAGACAGAAATTAATGGCAATACATTTCAAAACTCTATAATTAGAAAAACAAAACATCACATTTAGAATACACTTTAACAATATATTGTACTGCAAATAACTAGTCAGACGTTGGAGAGAGTTATGTTTTTATGCAATTTATGAATACTGTATATTTCATTACTCCACATTGTAATATTCAGTAATCATAAAAGAAATACATACTAAATTAAATCACTTGTGTGCTTTAGGTTCCTGTCAATTTTCTGTGAAAGAATGAAACTGAGTGTAAATAGAATCCCTGGTGCATGCTGGTTAGGAGTGCATTACACCTAATCTGCCTTATTCATCTGCAGAAGGAACTTACCTTACTATGCATTCTTTATGTATCTAACAGAAACTTGAAAATCGTATTAATTTGATTCGTGGGAGATCAAGTTTAATTAATGTTGAGTCTAACACAGCACTGGAGTAACTCCACAACGGAGAGTATGTACTTAATTTAAATGTTGATGAATAAGTCTTTTTCAACATTGTCTTTTTCATTTATTAAAGTCTTACTTTTGTAAAATTTGTAAAATTTTGTAGAATTGCTTATGTTAGCCTTTGCTTCGTAATCACACGGACACAGTGCAAATTAGAAAGGGAGGAAGGGATTTTTAATAAGGCCAAACCTTTTGACGTTTTGAATTGTGAAATGGTTGAGACTATTAATAGGTTACTGCCATCATTTATGTAAACACAATGCTGCAACTGGGTCAATTAATGCTTGAAGTTTGATTCAAATTGAAGAATTTGATTTTGATCTCAAGTCTAGGTTGTCTGTGTCTGCAGTGGAAAATTGTTTCATATGTGTTTATTTTTTCAAAGATTAATAATTGCAGCTAAGTATCTTTTAAGAAGGTCATAGACAAGTCTAGCAGCAAGTGATATCAATACACTAATAATTCAGTGATATTAATATATTTTTCTGTTGCCATGACAAAGCAGGTTTGGCCTCTGTGTAAAACACTAGAAATGAAGCTGAAAGGGGTTTATCTAATATCCATGGCCCAAGTCTGTACCACAGAAAAGGACACATGGACATTGTAAAGCTATGTCAACTCTCAACCTCCATAAAAGATAGTTTGCTAGCCTGGCTCCCCTCAGTCTGCCATCCCCATCTGCCCAGGACTATAGGTCAGAGGTCACTGCCCATCACTTAAAAGATGACCACTTAATGAGCAACCTGCAGGATGGATGGAAATACTATATATGATGACATCCTAACATCAACTATGATTTCCTGGTTTAAAAAGGTGTTGCACAGGTCACTGGCTTGCTTGCTCACTCATTCCTCTCCATCTAACCAGGCAATCTGACTTTACCTAACATGTGACTGCAAGGAGTATGAGTCAGGACTTGTCATGCTAAGAGAGTGAGTCAGTAAAGAAAAGAATTCTGCTCAAGATTTCCGCTGCAACTGAATAAATCTTATGTTTTGAGAACCAATTATTATTTTCAACTGATTTTCAATTTTTTTGTCAACATTCTGCATGTCTGAGCATATTCAGTGAAGTGCTATACTTGGAACTCCCACCCCATCTCACTTGGGGCTGGACCCAAGCAGATTTTTAAAACCAAAGTTCAGCAAGATGCTCACTTCCTTGGAGAGTTGTTCTTCAGCAAAGCTTTCCCTCCCCTCTCTCTGGAACTAAGAATCCCTGCACAGAGCAGCTGATGAGTTGGACCACATTAGCCCAGCCCAGCTATCTTCACCAGGAAGTTCAGAACTCATTTAGAAACATTTGGCCTAGTCTAGAAAAGCAAATATGTTTTATGTGTTGGGAAAGGTTATGTGCAACATGACCACACTGTTGAAGCAGAGTTGCTTCCCTTTGGTTTTACTGCTGAATGATGATTCTGCGGAAAAGAGTCTAACTGGATGGTGCATCATTGGCAACCGTCACTCTCTCTTCCTGGCACGAATGGGCCCTTGCCTTTATTGTAGCACTAATGGAGTTGTCTACTGCTTGGGTCCTTTGTGCTGGAGAATAATTTTTATTTCTCTAGGAGATAGTTGTAGAAAACATAATAGCATTGATGGTCTCTTAACCCTACCCTAGTTACTGAATTGGTTTTACAGGTCTCCCTGGACTGGTCATACTACAGGAAGGGTAGAAAAGGGGTTTGTTCCTGAGAGGGAGGATTACAGGGGAGAATTTTGTTGATGTTTGTATTCAATTTTTTTGTTTCGAAAATAAAATATTGATCACAAAAAGGTAGTTAGAGCAATGGAAGTTTATCATGGCAGATCAATTCAAAGATATATTCTAATACTCTTGTTGGTTTGCTATTCATGTTTTGGTGTTGTATTAATATTTTGTTTTGTTTAGAAGCCATTTCTGAAACTGTAAATTATTGTTTAATTGATTCATAACAATAAAATGGATCCTACACAAGTTATCACATCACTCCTGTTTTTAATCCCACGCATTGGCTTTCTGTCAGGTTTTGAATACATTCTGTATCTGATTTCTTTAATCCCCTTCACATAACCTTCCCTCAGTTAACTCTGGTTTACTATGTGTTCCCACTGTTTGTCTACACCAGGGGTTGGTAACTGTTTTGTATCGTATGACGCTTTTTCCACAGTTAAATATGAAAAACATAACGCCTGCCATGTACAACGTCATTTTACAAACATATATTTGAAATTAAGTATAACTGTATTATAAAAATGTATTTAATCACCAAGTAGATCACAAACACACCTTTAATTAACAACCAGTTTTAATCTTTCAATCGGCTTTCTAAGTAAATTGCCATCAATATATTGATGAGGTGTTAGTGACAGGGATACTATACTGTAAACAGGTGCTGTCCTGTGGATGAGACGTAAAACCGAGGTCCTGACTCTGTGGTCATTAAAAATCCCAGGACATTTCTCGAAAAGAGTATGGGTTTAACTCCGGTTTCCTGGCCAAATTTACCATTGGCCCTTACCAATGATGGCTTCCTAATAATCCCCATCTATGAATTGGCTTCATTACTCTGCTCTCCTCCCCACTGATAGCTGATGTGTGGTGAGTGTTCTGGCGTACCATGCCTGCCATTGCATCATCCAGGTGGATGCTGCACATTGGTGGTGGTGGAGGGGAGTCCCCATTACCTGTAAAGTCCTTTGAGTGGAGTGTCCAGAAAAGCGCTATATAAGTGTAAGCAATTATTATTATTTTTTTATGTATATCTACCCCTGGATAGCTCATACAGGTAAACAAATTAGTCCAAACTAACAATGTTAGTAATTTTAGTTATTTGATGTTGGAATGTGTCTGAGGCATAATCTCATGGATGCTTGCCTTGAAAAGTCCTTGAAAAGGAAAAAAAAAAACATAATCAGTTCTTCTCAATTCTTCTCAAAGCTATTCTAATACCCATTGTTCTAAAATCCTGTACTACTGAGTACAAGTTTCAATTACTGATGTGATTATCGTTGCTATCCAGCATTGATTTGAAAACAATGTATAAATCAAAAACTTGGATTGAACTGAATATGCTTTTGTATTATTATGACTGTACTGTTATTATTGTGACTGTAAAATTTAAAAACAGTGAGTTCCAGTCTACAAAGTTGCAGATGATTTTACAGGCCAATAAATACAGAGGATCAAAGGGAGTGTTCTGGTTTACTCTGGTTTCATTAACGTCTTGATAAATCATTAATCAGTCTTTAACAGAACACAGCCTATGGAACAAGATTTATTGCTCTAGGTTTGTGCTAGATGAGAGGACCTTGTTCTGATCAGTCTTGGAGACCAGATTCTGATTATTTTTTAAATATATTTTTAGTAAATTCTGATTTATTTTCATGTTGTTAAGGGTGGCTTAGCATTGGGACATATGTCTTTATTAAGGACAAAAGGTTTTATATCTCTTTAAGTCCTGTTTAGGCATTGTATCAGGCATCAGATTACAGGGTTAGCTGTTCAGTTCTGGGTTTTCCAGGTCTGTAGAATTTTTTACTTCAGAGACACCTGTAAATTGTAAAATTCTAAATCATGTACCTGGTATTTTTTTTTGTTGAGTAATATTTTGTGTCATTTAGTTATTGTATATATTTGTTTATTCAAATTTGCCTATGATTTATTACTCTTTTGCCAGAGCTGTGCCAGCGAAAAAAGAACACATGCCATAACACATGCCTCAAATTACACCTAGCCCTCTCAGATTTTAATTATTTTTCATCACTTAAAAGTTGTAATTATTATTTCCCATCTACGCTCTCCTGAGCCCCCTCTCCTAGTATATAACAGTATGTATAGCAAGAGTCAAAACACTGATAATGTGACCCCTTATATATTCTGTACAAGGT